CCCCCCCCCCCCCAGTGGAGAGAGTGGAGCAGGGAAGACCGTGGCAGCCAAATACATCATGGGCTACATCTCCAAGGTCTCCGGCGGGGGCCAGAAGGTCCAGGTGAGGGGAGAGTGGAAGGATGGGCCGGGTCTCCCCACGTGCACAGTAATGAACCCCCAGGACCGCCTACCTCATCCTGACCTCTTCCCACCTCCACCCGCCTCTGCCCGCAGCACGTGAAGGATATCATCCTGCAGTCCAACCCACTGCTAGAGGCCTTCGGCAATGCCAAGACCGTGCGCAACAACAATTCCAGCCGCTTTGTGAGTCCGCGGCCCTGCTTTGGAGCAAAGGCTCCCTCCGCACACGCACACGCACATGTGTATTCCCAGCAATAGAGGAACTACCTGCTCCTGCATGGGAGACTCACTTCCTGCTTATGGTCCATCTGAAAAAGATTCCCCCGTCAGCTGCACTGTAGTGGCCTTGACTTCCTTGACTTGTCTGTGTAACATTCTTCCATATTGCCTTGGCTGCAATCATGCTACGTCCGTTCCTATTCACATTTCAGTTCCCGATTTATTCTCTCATCCGTTGTTTCTTTTAACAAATCGTTCTTGGGCTTCTTCCTTCCGTCAGGTGTTACGCTGAGCCTAACAGAAGACAGAATAGGTCAACGGATCTGGAGTTATGGTCTGACTCTATCACTATTTAGATTTGTGGGTTGGACCAAAAAAAAACAAAAAAACAAAAAAACAGTGTAACTTCCTGAAGCTCCTGTTTTCTCATCCATAAAATGGAGATGGTGTTAATATCCATCTCACAGATCTCAATAATTCCTTCATATGAAAATGATTTAATAAATTCCATATGCTAATACAATTTATTTTATTCCCCTAAATATTATTAATTGTATTTTTTCTAACATTCTTTTTTAAGATTTTTTAATTTGGGGAGAGGGTGCCTGGGTGGCTCGGTTAAGCGTCTGACTCTGGATTTCGGCCCAGGTCATGATCTCACGGTTCGTGAGTTCGAGCCCTGCAACAGACTCTGTGCTGACAGCTCAGAACTCACTTGGGTTGTCTCTCTCTGTCCACCCCCCTCATCTCTCTCTCAAAATAAATATTTTTTTAAAAATCGTTTGGCTGGGGCACCTGGGTGGCTCAGTCAGTTGAGCATCCGACTTCAGCTCAGGTCATGATCTCACAGTTCACGAGTTCAAGCCCCGAGTCAGGTTCTGTGCTAACAGCTCAGAGCCTGGAGCCTGCTCTGGATTCTGTGTCTCCCCCTCTCCCTGCCCCTCCCCTGCTTGTGTTCTCTCTCTCTCAAAAGTAAATAAACATGAAAACACTTTTTTTAAATAAAATATAAATCTTACGGCTTAGGATTTTTTTAATGAAGATTTTTTTTTTAAATTTTAAGCAATCTCTACGTCCAACATGGGGCTCGATCTCACAACCCCAAGATCAAGAGTTGCACGCTCTACCAAATGAGCCAGCCAAGCACCCCTATTTTCTAACATTTTTATCATGTAATTATATTTGAAGTATTTTCCTCAACGTTTATTATTAAAAATCTTAAATACACAGAAAAATGGGGAGAATTGCGTAGCGAACACCTGCTGCCCACCTCCCAGGTTCTGTTGTTAACATTTTGCTATACTTACTTTATCATGTCTCCATCCATTCATTTTTTTTTTTTTTTTTTTTTTTTTTTTTTTTTTAAGTAAGCTCCACACTCAATGCGGGGCTTGAACTCATGACCTGAGATTAAGAGTCGCGTGCTCCATCGACTGAGCCTGCCAGGTGCCCCTGTTCATCTTTTTTTTTTTTTTTTTGATGAGCTACAAAGTAAACTGCAGACACCATACTTTCTGCTCTCCCCTCCACACGTCAGCACGCAGATCATTAATGATAATCCAATATAAATTTCCAGTGCTCTTCCATTTCATTTATTTATCTATTTAGAAGGGGTGGGGGAGAGAGAAAGAGAGAACAAGCATGGGAAGGACAGAGAGAGAATCCCAAGCAGGCTCCGCACTGATACAGGCTTCAAACTCACAAACCACGAGCTCATGACCTGAGCTGAAACCAAGAGTCTGACGCTTAACCGACTGAGCCATACAGGCGCCCCGATTTCTTTTATCTTTTTTCTTCGATTTCTTTCAAAGTAAAATTTGCATATAGCAGAACACATTAAAGCGGATCATGCACAGAGTTTGGAAAAATGTGTGCATCTGTACAACCACAGCCCTATCAACATACAGAACATCACCATCACTCCAGAAAGTTCCCTCCCTTTTTCGGTCAGTCTCTGTTCCCACCTCACCCCAGAAGCAACCACTCCTCTGGGTCTTTTTATTTTTTTTTTAACAAGAGATTAGTTTCGACTGTTCTAGAACTTTATATAACTGGAAATCGCACCGTATGTGTTTTCAAAGTACTGATACACACAAAAACATGGCTGAACCTCAAGAACACAATCATGTTTTATTTTGCATATAATATTATGTAATATATATGTTATATATTATGTGTTATAGATGCATAAGAACACAGTTATGTTTTATGTGGCATATTATGTATATGCTATATATGTTATATATTATGTGTTATAGATACATAATACATATATTACATATATAAGAATGCAATCATGTTTTATATTGCATATTATGTAATATAGGTTATGTGTTATATATGTCATATATTACATATGGTATATATTATACATATGTGTAGATATATTACATCATATGTTACATATATTACAATATTACTTAGTATACAACAGAACAGAATGGGTATATGTCACGTATTACAGGTATCTGGGTAGCGCTATGATGTGATGTGTATCATCATTGCATGGAGGCGACAGAAAGGAGACGTAAGGGGGCTTCTCTGCCCTCCAAACTTTGCCCAGGGTAGAACCCAGAGGTTGGCAGAGGCCAAAGAAGGGGCTGTGGAGCCCTTGCTCTGGGCTCAGGGACAACACGGGAGAGACACCCAGGATCACTGAAACTAGCAACATCCCCCAGGAACGTGGAGGCCTCTGTGTTGTGATAGAAGACCTGGGAAACTGGTCAATAAAGTGAGGTACTTCTATGTGCCTGGCACAGGGCTGGATGCCCAGATGTGGACTTGAGTCAGCCGAGAAGGAGCAGCTTAAACAAAGGCGGGAGGGAAGGAGCTGATGCAAAGTCAGTAAGCGGGAGTGGAGAGCAGAGTTGAGATCACATGGGCAAGAGGGTTCAAGAGGCCAGGCTCCTAAGGCCCATCCTCAACTCCTGCCCCACCGGCACACCGCTGGGACTCTGGGGGTCTAACGTGTCTCCCTCGGCTTCAGGGCAAGTACTTTGAGATCCAGTTCAGCCGCGGCGGGGAGCCAGATGGGGGCAAGATCTCCAACTTCCTGCTAGAGAAATCCCGTGTGGTCATGCAGAACGAAAACGAGAGGAACTTCCACATCTATTACCAGGTGCTGGGAAAGGGGCCGTGAGATTGGGGCAGGGGGAGAGCCCAAGGGGAGATGGGGGGGGGAGGGTCGGTGCCCAGGAGCCCGTGACAGTGAGGACTGGGGGGGTCACGGGGGCTGCGCAGTCCCACGTCAGATGCATGAGCATTGCTCACCCCCCAGCTGCTGGAAGGAGCCTCCCAGGAGCAGCGGCAGAACCTGGGGCTCATGACCCCCGAGTACTATTACTACCTCCAGTCGGACACCTACAAGGTGGATGGCACCGATGACCGGAGTGACTTCAGTGAGACTCTGGTGAGCAGTGACCACCACACTAGGAAACCGAGGCCCAGAGAGGGGCAGGGACTTGCCTCACGTCACACAGCAAGCGGGTGAAACAGGCAGGACAGGGATCCCGGTGTCCTGACTCCGTGCTGTGGCCCCAGAAGCCTAACCCAGGAGGGCAGGGCGGAGGTGGGGATCCGTGGCACAGGCCCTGTCCCTGTTGTGCCCGCAGAATGCCATGCAGGTCATTGGGATCCCACCCAACGTCCAGCAGCTGGTCCTACAGCTTGTGGCCGGGATCTTGCACTTGGGAAACATCAGCTTCTGTGAAGACGGGAATTACGCCCGGGTGGAGAGTGTGGACCGTGAGTGTGGGTTCCGGGGACGGTGGGGCGGAGGCGTGAACTGCTTCCTCCTAGTTCGACCCCAGGAGGGTCAGAGCCCACGAGGACAGTATCTGAGTCACTGGGCAAAATGGGGAACGCCAGAAGCATCGCAGGAGCCCCAAGAGCTTAACCGGCTGCCCCCTCCGCCCGGCAGTGCTGGCCTTTCCCGCCTACCTGCTGGGCATCGACAGCGGGCGGCTGCAGGAGAAGCTGACCAGCCGCAAGATGGACAGCCGCTGGGGCGGGCGCAGCGAGTCCATCGATGTGACCCTCAACGTGGAGCAGGCGGCCTACACCCGCGACGCCCTGGCCAAGGGGCTCTACGCCCGGCTCTTCGACTTTCTCGTGGAGGTAAGAGGCGCCGGGGCCAGGCAGGGGGAGAGGCGCTGCCCCAGAGCAACCTGGGCTTGGACCAACCAAGTGGGGAAGGCAGGTTTGACTGTCACCAGCCATCAGAGTCATCAGGCAGGGGCAGGAGCCAATCGGATGGATGACGTGGGCGGAGGCTCCTCCTGGCCAAGCCCAGGAGGGAGGGGGCTGCTGGAACCATCCAGGCCTGCACTGTGGGGGTGGAGACGGGTGGGGGCATCTGAGAGGCACGAGGGGGCTATCAGAAGGACAAAGTGATGGACCGGATGGGAGCGACAGGAACAGGACGTGTCAAGGCCAGGAATGGTGACAATACTGTAGTAGCCAACATTATATGACACTTAGTCTATGCCAGGTACGGTTCTCAGTGTTCCTACACGCACCAATTTAATTCCTGTATAAAGCCCTGCAGGGTAGTTGCCATTATTAACCCATTTTAACGATGAGAAAATAGAGGTGCAGAATGGTCAAGGGCCAAAGCCAGTTCGCAAGGTAGGAACCCGGATGTTCTGACACCTGGGTTTCTCATGTTGGGGGGGGGGTGCGCACACAGAGCTGGAGAAGGCAGGAGAGGAATGGTATGGGGACATAGTCAGAACGCGGGTTATAGCAAGAAGAGAGCGGCACGCTGGCACTCACCTGCTGTCCCCACCCACATTACAGGCCATCAACCGTGCTATGCAGAAGCCCCAGGAGGAATACAGTATTGGTGTGCTTGACATCTATGGCTTCGAGATCTTCCAGGTTCGGCCTCTGCTCCCCACCCCCCTACCCCCCCCACCTCATGCATTGGTCATTCAGTACAGGAGCCTCCAGACACAGCGGGGTCTCTGAAGGTGAAACCCTTGCCTCCTCCCTTGGCAGAATGCAATAACCGCTTCAGCAGTTCCCATCCACCTGTCAACCCAGGCTGGCAGCAAATCTTTATCTAACCTCACCCTGAGTTTGAGCAGGTGGCCAGGGGCCAGGGGACACTGGGGGTGGGGCGGACCAACAGGTTGCTTCAGGAAACCACCCAGGCCCCCCCCTTCCCACCTCTCTCTCTGCTGAGCTGTCCAGCCCCCCCCCCCCCCCATGAAATCTCCTTCTTTGAAGAGGTTTTCTGCCTCCTCTCCTCTTTAATCTGCTTCACAAGGGCTGGGGAACCCTCCCCGTCCGCTCCTCTCCAGCAACGACATCTATATTGAGACCTCTGCTGTAGACACTGTTTGCAGTGCTGGAAGACCGGCAGGATGAACAAATCCCCTGCTGTTTTCATCCTGTCTATCCTGCAGAAGCAGAGCCTGAGACAAGGATTCAGGTAGGGCAACATCAGGCGAGGAGAGAGAGGAAGTGAAAGACTCACTTAAAAAAAAAGTGTTGGGGGGCAGAAGGATATGATGACAAGTGGGTTATAAGGCAAATCGGGGCCAGCCTCCCTGCTTCTCCCTGGGGATACTGGCCAGAAGCAGTGACCCTCAGAGGTGGTCTGTCTCTAGAGCCACGGAGCCAGGATATTTATGAACTGCTCTGTTCGTGGCTAAGGGCTGCTAGGGGGAGAAGTTCAGAAGCCCGGCCTACCACAATACACACAGGGCCACAGACTTTGTTACTGGAGACGGCCCGCGTGGGTGAGATGGGAGATATGGGAACACCACACCTCCTTCTTCACCTTGTGGAAGTATATGCCTTCTAGAAGATACACCCTCTGCCCACACCCATCTCCTCACCCCCTGTGCCTCCCCTCTAGGGAGTGAGGTATCGCCCAGGAGGGTATCCGCTGGACCCCCATCCAGTATCACTCAATGTAAAATCACCAAGCACTTCATTGAAACAAGCTGCGAGAGACTGGGTCAGCTTTTATGGTCCGGGCTGGTCTTGCCGCACCTGGAAGAGGGGAGGGGGGAGCCCCCTGCTCGCTGGGGGACATTGCAGATGCAGCACACTGAATATCCCATCAGCCACCTCATCCACTCTGCCCACCTGCTTGCATTTCTCTCACCACTAACTTAAATTTTCAACACTTCCCCAGGGGCCCTAGCTCTGTTAAGAGCCCTGACTCTTGATTTTGTGTCAGGTCATGATGTCAACAATAAAACCATGAGCTTGAGCCCATGCTCTGTGCTGACTGCGTGGAGCCTGCTTGGGATTCTCTCTCCTCCTTTCTCTCTCTCTCTCCAAAACAAACTTTAAAACAAAAACAAAACACTTCTCTCCCATGGCACCTGCTCAGAGACAGAGGAAGGGGTCAGGCTGACAGGCCCCCCCACCAGGTCATCCAGGCAGTGGGCAGGACTTCTCTGCTCTCACCCCGTCTCCCTGCTCTCTCCCCCCCCCAGCTAGCTTCCACAATTTCACCCCCACTTTTTGTTTCTCTGGAAGCCTCAGCCTCCACTCTCCTCCATCAGGGGAGTTGATGGGGTAGGGCTCCCTGCCAGGCTGAGCCACCGTCAGCCTCAAAGCCTCCTCAATTCTGCAGAGGAGAGCCTCCCCCCTGGCATCATGAGCTGCCCTGGACGACGCAGGCTACCACCATGCACGCCACGCATGGGCGGCGTGCCGGCCAATTGCACTCTGCCTGGCTGCAGGCAGTGGGCACCACAGCACTTCAACAGCTGGAGCCTGGCTTTCATCATCCACCACTATTGCTGGGTAAGGTGTGTAAGTGCAAGGTGTGCTCGCCGCCTGCCGGGCCGTACAGAGCCTCCCAGCCCCCAGAAAGGGAGCTCTGCAGGGGAACTCGTCAGAGCTGCAGAACTCCATGCACTTTCTCCACCCCTCCCACTTGACACTCCTCCTCCAGGGAATCCAACTGGTGCCTGGTCTCCCACCGTATGTTCCTTTTCAGCTAGACTCAGAAACCCACTGCCTCTCGACCAAGGTCACAGTTTCCTCTCCCAGCCTCCCAGCTGAAGCCTCCCTGTAGTACTAACAGGGCGAAAACTCCTCCCATTGGATCATCAAGCTAGCACCAGGACTCTCCCCCCCCCACCCAAAGCCAAACCCACTAACCTCCTGACCCAGACACGGGTCATAACTTCAAACTTAAGGCTCACGCCGGGTAAAGCCGCCGTTCTCTCCAAATGGCTGGTCTTCCTCCGACCCCTGGGCACCACCACCCAAGACTCCAGCCCTAGGAAACTGCTGGCCTTCTGACCCCTGGCCGTCTTCCACCCCGCACTGACAGGATTGACTGCAGACTTCTCTTCCACTGACCTTCTTCGTGGTCAAGACACCCCTAGAATTCCCCCCGCCGCCGGAGCCCCCTGCCCCTTATTGTGAACTATAGGTACCCCCCGATCCTGTCAGCCCAGAGCAGGCCCCCACAGGACCCCTGACCGCCTGGGCTGTAAGCAGCACCCCTCAGGTCTCAGCCCCGCATTCCCCCCAACCCTGTCTCCCTCCAGGTCTCCTACGATGTTAACGGCTTCTGCGAGAGGAACCGGGACGTCCTGTTCTCTGACCTCATAGAGCTGATGCAGACCAGTGAGCAGTGAGTGACCTCCGGGGACACATCCTCCTAGGGATTGTGGGGAGGCTGGGGACCACTCTGTCTTCCCCAGAGCTCCCATCACGCCGCAGACTTTGTGAGTGTGGCTGTCCACAGGGACGGTGTTTCTAGTGACTGGTTAGCCCCCCGAGACCCACAGGAAGAAGTGAGGAAAGCCCTCAGAGCTCCTTCTGGCCCATCCAGTGCTCCCCTGCGCCAACCCAATCCACGTGGGGTGTGGACGGTTTCCCCGGTTACACCGTGAGAACACAGCACGCCCTGCATTTTTCCGTGTTAACACATATGGACCCATGGCTCCCATCTCCCTGACCGAAGCTGCATGCCGGCGTCCATTTTTTGCCTTTTTAACCTCAAAAATTTGTCCAGGCTCTGCTGTGTGCCAGGCACGATTTGAACCTGTGGGGACGGAGGACCGGACAGGTCGGAGAACACGGCTGCTCTCACTGAGTGGAGAGCCACGCGAGGAGACAGGTGTTGAACTAGGGAAAAACAAGGCAAATAGAATATAGTGTCGCATGAGAGTCGTAAGACAGTGGTCCGTAAAAGGCTGCAATTATGGCTCCTGAACACCCTTGGAGCTGCCTACACATGCGGCACCTCAGACCCCACCCCACACCCACTAAATCAGAATCTGCGTTTCAACGTGACGCCCCTGATGCCTCCTCGAGAGCCACGTGCACATATGAACTTGGGATCCAATGATCTAGACCGGCACTGTCCCTCTTACCCCACATCCACATAGAATCCGAGCTACACGCATCATGACTTTCAAACAGCTGTGTCCAGGTACAACTTGCATGCCATTAAATGCGCTCGCCTCAAGAAGGGATTTTTAGCCAGCGCGTAGGATTGTACAACCATGACCCCTACCCGTCTGGGAACATCTGCATCAAACCAGAAAGACCCCTCGTGCCAAACTGCACCCAAACCTTATTCCCAGTATGTGTGCAATTTTAAATTCCCTAGTGCACACTGAAAAAGTAGAAAGGTGGGGGCGCCTGGGGGGCTCAGTCGGTGAAGCGTCTGACTCTTGCTTTCGGCTCAGGTCATGATCTCGCGGTTCGTGAGTTCGAGCCCCATGTCGGGCTCTGTGCTGATGGCTCAGAGCCTGGAGCCTGCTTGGGATTCTGTCTCTACTCCTCCCTGGCTCTCTCTCTCTCTCTCTCAAAATAAATAAACTTAAAATAAATTAATTAAAGTAAAAATCAAATAAATACGGAAAGTAAAAAAGGTGAACAGGTGGGGCGCCTGGGTGGCGCAGTCGGTTAAGCGTCCGACTTCAGCCAGGTCACGATCTCACGGTCCGTGAGTTCGAGCCCCACGTCAGGCTCTGGGCTGATGGCTCAGAGCCTGGAGCCTGTTTCCGATTCTGTGTCTCCCTCTCTCTCTGCCCCTCCCCCGTTCATGCTCTCTCTCTGTCCCAAAAATAAATAAACGTTGAAAAAAAAAATTAAAAAAAAAAAAGTGAACAGGTGACATTAAAAAATATTTTCTTAAGCCCAACATACCCCAAATATCATTTCAACATATACTCCATATAAAAATTATCCATGAGTGAGTATGAATTAATTATGAATGGATGAACTACACCCTCTTTCCCCATATTGTGGTACTCTGTGAAATCTTTTATGGATTTAACACTCACAGCGCATCATGATTTAGACAGGCCGGGTCTCAAGGACCTCGAGAACTACAGGTGACCAGGGGCCGCCATATTGGAAAGGACAGAGCGGTCGTTCTCAAAGTAGGGTTCCTGGGCCAGCAGCAGCAGTATCGGCTGGGAACTCACTAGAAATGATCGGGCCCCAGCCCAGATGTGTGAATGAGAAACTTAAGAGGGATGAGGTGGGGCCCAGCCGTCCGTGTTTTAACAGGCTCTCCTGGTCATTCCGGTATCCACTGGAGCAAGCATTGAAAAGGAAAACTAAGGTGATAAAGGGCTGGAGATTATGGTAGGCATCACTCTTTTTTTTCTTTTTTTACCTTCTTTTATTTCCCTTTTTTTTTAAGTTTATTTATTTATTTTGAGAGAGAGAGTGAGCAGTGGAGGGACAGAGAGAGAGGGAGAGAGAGAATCCCAAGCAGGCTCTGCACTGTCAGCGCTGAGCCCCATGCGGGACTCGAACGCACGAACCTTGAGATCATGACCTGAGCTGAAGTCAAGAGTCAGACGCTCAACCGGCGCCCCTCACTTTCTTTTACTTTCTAATCGTGATAAAATACACACAATATAAAATTTACCGTTTCACCGTTCGGAACTGAACAGTTCGGTGGCCTTAAGGCACATTCACAACGTCGGGCAACCATCCCTACTCTCTAATTCCAGGGCGTTTTCATCTTCCCAAATATGTACCGATCGAGCAGTCCACTCATCCCGGGCTGTGATGGTCAGGGAAGGTCCCCCGGAGACGAGGGAGAGAACTGTGAATGTGCCAGGGCGTCTAACCAATCCCCTGCTGAGGGGCGATGTGACTGTGCCCATCATGGCGACCACAGGCAGGGTCACAGCAGCAGGCTCCCTTGTCTGTGGCTCTTTGCACACGCACGTGAGCCTGTGCATGTAGGATCGTTCCTGAAAGGGGACCTGCCCCTGTTGCCGGAGATGCCGCATCCCTTGATAGGTGTTCGTACTTAATTTAACTTTGTTCTACTTTAGTTGCTACCCAGGCCAAGCGTGGTCACCGAGGCAGAAGGAACAGGTGCAAACAAATCAAACCGAAAGGACAAAAGCAACTCCCCGGCTCTCAGCATCACACCCCCCACACTCAGGGAGAACTACGCTTTGCAGCGCGTCCTCTAGGTCACGGGCGTCTAGGTAGCCTCCCCTCTGGGAGAGGGCACCTCTAATTCTCCTGTGCCCCCTGCCCAGGGCCTTCCTCCGCATGCTGTTTCCTGAGAAGCTGGATGTAGACAAGAAGGGCCGCCCCAGCACCGCCGGCTCCAAGATCAAGGTGGGTCCCGGGGCAGGAGAGGAGGAGCTGGGCCCCGGGGAGGGCTGGGGACAGTTCTTCACTCATCCCAGCCTCTGTCTCTCCTGCGTCCTGGGGCCTCTGCCCCTCTCTCTGGCACCCTCTGTCCAGCAGGGTCTTCTTCCAACTCTGGGGGTAGGGGGGGTTCTACCAGCTTCCTTGATGTCCCCCTGACTCCCTAAATCCAAACTGAAGCGTCCACCCTCTTAAAAATGTTTTGGCCTTTTGGCTATGTGCCACTTGGATTGGATTGTGGGGGAAAACACGTAAAATGGACCATCTTAACCACTGCTAAGTGCGTAGCTCAGGGACATCGAGCACACTCACACTGGGCCACCATGCCTACCTACCATCCGTCCCCAGGACTTTTTCATCTTCCCAAACTGAGACTCTGTCCCCATGGAGCACTGACTCCCCGCCCCCTGCCTCACCCCCGACGCCCACTATCTTTTCTGTCCTGTGGACGGGACTCCTCTAGGGACCTCCCGTGAGTGGAATCAGGCAGGACGTGTCCTTCTGTGTCTGGCTTACCTCACTCAGCGTAACGTCCTCCAGGTTCGTCCCTGTTGTAGCTGGGGTCAGGACAGCCTTCCTTTTTAAGGCTGAAGAATCTTCCAGTGTACGAACGGGCCACATTCTTCCTATCCACTCCTCCGTGGACGGACACTCGGTTGCTTTCACCTTTTACCTAGTGAATAGTGCTACGATCAACTGGGTGGCCCATCCTGAAACCATTTTAGTGACCATGCCTTGAGCACTTAGTACCGGCAGCAAATGCGGGGACGCTTTCCGTGCATGGGACTAATCCCACCCGGGGGACGGGGGGACCGAGGCTCAGAGAAGCACCGTCACTGGCCCCGATCACACAGCAGAGGACTCTCATGCCGCTCTCTCCAATCCCCCCGCCTGGGACGATTTCCTTTCTAGTCTCCTCCAAGGGACTAAAATGCACAAGGCTGGCCTCTCAGGCACACACACGTGATTCCCTACTCCCGGAGGACCGGCTCCCCGAAGGACAGGCAGAAATGTTCTGTGCACATGTTCTGAGTGCTCAGCTAGCCACCCGCAAAGGTTTGCTGAGCACTTGTGATGTGCCAGATTGAGCGTTGAGTGCTGTGAACACGAGAGCTCCTCGTCTGAGGTTGTCAACCCTGCACGGGGTGTGCCAATGGAGGTATGCGCAGACCAGGGACACCTGACCCCGTGGTGCACTGGGAGCCAGCCCCCACTTAGTGCGTCTCTGCCTCCTGGGTCTGTATCCAGGCCGGGAGGAGAGAGGGTCCGAGGGTCCCATCGCTCCACCGCCCCCACCTTCTCCTCCGCCTCAGAAACAAGCCAATGACCTGGTGGCCACGCTAAAAAGATGTACACCCCACTACATCCGCTGCATCAAGCCCAACGAGACCAAGAAGCCCCGCGACTGGGAGGAGAGCAGGTGACTACCAGCTGGACCCATCCACACTTCCTGTGCCCCCAGACGGACCCCTCCCTCCAGAACCCGCCCAGGGTCATGGGACTCACCCCAAGACTAACCAGGGCTGACCCCTAGGACCAGTGCAAACCGCCTCAGGGCCCCGGGTTTATACCTACTACTGACCGCGACCATCCAGACTGCAGGGATGACCCCAGACTGAGTGCAGGATGACCCAGGAACTAGCACAGTCCCCTCAGTCCCCAAACCCTAGGACGCACCCCTAGGATGAACTCTGGAACTGACCACAGAACTGTCACACACCTCTCCCTCCCCAGAAGCTGGGTCCCCACCCCCACAGGACTGACTCCCAGGCTGACCCCTGGCACCGGCACTGAAGTCACACCCCCCCCCACACTGCCCCCGGCGCGAATCCAGACCCACTGGGCCCCACGTCTGCTCCTTCCAGCCCTGCCCAGCAGCACCCACCCACTCCCAGGACCAGGAGTACCCCGCAGGGGACTCAAAGTGCCTTCCCCTTTAGGGTCAAGCACCAGGTGGAGTACCTGGGCCTGAAGGAGAACATCAGAGTACGCCGGGCTGGCTTTGCCTACCGTCGCCAATTCTCCAAATTCCTGCAGAGGTGAGGTGCCCCCGCCCACCCCTGGCCCGAACTGCCACCCCGCAGAATATCCACCAGCGGGGACGTGGACTCCAAACCCTCCCACGTCCTCTGCCTCCAGGTACGCCATCCTGACCCCGGAGACGTGGCCACAGTGGCGTGGGGATGAACGTCAGGGGGTCCAGCACCTGCTTCGAGCAGTCAACATGGATCCAGACCAGTACCAGATGGGGAGCACCAAGGTCTTTGTCAAGAACCCCGAGTCGGTGAGTGTGAGAGGCAGACAGACTTCTCCGTCTGGAAAGCGGGGGGAGGAGAAGCCCCCCGCGCAGGACTGGGGTGAAGATTAGACAAAACGGGAAGTCTCCTGCCCAGTGTGTGGCACATAGCAGGAGCTCAGAAAAACCGGAATTAGCTGGACGGTCCCCTGGTGGCCAGGAGGCAGGTAGGGACACGTGTGGCCACCTGTGGTGACAAGCCCCTTGTGAGGGAGAAGAACTTTCTATCCTTCTTCTCTTTCTGCTTTCTTCCTTTTTAACTAAGTTCTATTTCTTTAACGTTTATTTATTTACTTTTGAGAGAGAGAGCGCGAGGGGGGAGGGGCAGAGGGAGAGGGAGAATCTCAAGCAGCCTCCGCACAGTCAGCCCAGAGCCCGATGCAGGGCTCGAACCCACGAACCGTGAGATCATGACCTGAGCCAAAACCAAGAGTCGGACGCTTAACCGGCTGAGCCACCCAGGCGCCCCTTAACTAATTTCTTTCTGTACCTTCTCCTAGCCTGCTTTCTCTGTCCTCTTCCTTCATTGCTTCATGGACACATGGAGTCCCTGGGCTGGAGACTCGTGTCAAAGTGGCGGTTGGCTTATCCCAAGACCTGCCCCAGGCCCCGATCTGTCAAAGAAAACCCTCGTTCTGTACCCTCCAGTGCAGAAATAACCCCTCCAGCACCTTATCGGCCGCTCTCAGCCTTTTCTCAAAAGGTCGGGAGCACCACCTAGCGTACGGGGCCTCTGCCTTCAGGGGAGAAACAAAGTGACAACGACAAATCTGTCTTGGGGACCTACTGGATAGCATTGCGACTCTAGTGAACAGCGCTGTATTATATACTGGCAGGTAGATCTTCAGGGTTCTCACCACAAAAGAAATGGTAACTATGTTATGCGTGGAGGTGCTAGCTGATCTATAGCGGTCACCATTCTGCAATATATACATGTATCCAGTCAACGCCTGTACGCCTTAAATTTACACAATGTCACGCGTCAGTTATACCTCAGCAAAGCTGGACAGGGGTAGTTTTTTTTAAAAAGCAACAATGACAGGGCGCCCAGGTGGCTCAGTTAGGCATGTTGACTTCGGCTTGGGTCATGATCTCGCGGTTCGTGAGTTCGAGCCCCGTGTCGGGTGTAGAGATTACTTAAAGATATAAGTGTAAAGGGGCAGCTGGGTGGCTCAGCTGGTTAAGCATCAGAGTCTCGATTTTGGTGCAGGTCACGACCTCACTGTTCGTGCGATGGAGCCCCGCGTTGGGCTCTGCGCTGACAGTGCAGAGCCTGCTGGGGATTCTCTCTCTCTGTCTCACCCCCTTCCATGTGTTTTCTCTCTCAAAACAAATAAATAAAACCAAAAAAAAAAAAAATGAAGTAAAATAAAATCTTTAAAAAATTAAAAATTAAAAATAAATAAATAAATAGATAGATAGATAGATAAAAACCTGGGTGGCCCAGTAGGTCGAGCGTCCGACTTCAGCTCAAGTCATGATCTCGCAGTCCGTGAACTTGAGCCCCGCATCGGGCTCTGTGCTGACAGTTCAGAGCCTGGAGCGTCCTTCGGATTCTGTGTCTCCCTCTCTCTCGGGCCCTCCCCTGTCTGCACTCTCTGTTTCTCTCTCAAAAATAAACAAACATTTAAAAAAAATTTTTTTTTAATAAATAAGGCAGTGCAAAGAATCCCCTAGGGCCTGCCTGGCCACCTGCTGCTATGTGAGGATTGGATGGCAAATTGGGAGTCGGCCTTCTGAATGTGTTGTGCTGGCTCACTAATCCAAGCTGGATTATTGGCACGCGGCACTTGATCTCAGGGTCGTGTGTTCAAGCCCCACATTGGGCATAAAACTTACTTTAAAAAAAAGAAAGAAAACAAAAGGAAAAGGAAAAGGAAAAGGAGAGGAGAGAAGAGAAAGAAGAAAATAGTCTGTTTCGGGAGGTCGGGTTCTCTGTCCCCCAAACTTGTCTGTACTGATCTCTAGAGCTTTCCCTATGGATGTGCTCTGCTCCAAGAAATGAGAACAGTCTGGAATTGCATCCAGAGTAGATCTTTTTACTGACAGAAACTAGCATCACAAACCAAAATTGCCCATGACTGGAACTAATCGGGAACAATTCAAATTGTAGCAGTTGAGAAAGAAAGGGAGGGAGGGTCAGAAAAAGAGATGGAAGAGACAGAGAAAGAGAATCCATCCTGCTGGTTACAGGCAGTTTGCAAAATCTGACTCCGAAAGAAACATGTAAAAATTGACACTGGGAAAAAACAAACAAACAAACAAAAACAGAGTCAACAAGGCTAGCACTGGCTAAGGCTATCTAAGGTAAAATCATATTCTGACAAAAATTATTTCCACGGCCGGAAACAATGAAATTCACACAGGGAAAAGTTTGGTGGAAAAATGTAAGGAAAAACAAGACTGAAAATTTGCACAGGAAAAAACTGGATACAGTTTTGTAACTGTTTATAACTATGCTGTATCACAATTGATCAAAGAATTAAGTTACCCTAACGGAGGTGGGGACTCTGCCAGCCAGCCCACATTGGGATGATTCTGATTTGAATTTGGCTCCTTGTACACATGGAGTCAAACTATCCTTGGCTGTTTCACACACCTGCTGGCCTTCCCTGCCTGTCACGCTGCGTGTGTTCCTTTCCTGTGGCTGCTGTAGTGAAGTACCACCGACTGGATGGCTGAACCCAACAGAAATTAATTTGCTCACGTTTCTGGAAGCTGGAAATCCAACACCAATGTGTCCGCAGGGCCACGGTCCCTCTCAAGGCTGCAGGGAAGCGCCTTCCTTGACTCTCCCTAACTTCCGGTGGGTGCCGGCCATCCTTGCCATTCTTGATCACTCCAGTCTCTACCTCTGTCATCACACGACCTTCTCCTCTGTGTCTGGGTCCAAACTTCCCTCTTCTTCTAAAGAAACCAAATCACACTGGATTGACGGAGGGCCCCACCCCCACCCCACTGTAGCATGACTTCATTTTAACTTGATTACGTCTGCAAAGACCCTCTTTCCAGGTTAAGGTCACATTCACAGGTTCTGGGTGGACATGAATTTCGGGGAAACACTATTCAACCCAGCACACCAGGATAAGCTCAGATCGGGGGCCTGTCTCACCCACCTTAAGCACACCCTGATCTGCCCTCTGCATATGAAGGAGACGAATTTCAAACTCTGTGGACAGGAAGACTCCTCTCCCAACAATGAACACAAATCCCCTTCCCTGAGCAGAAATAACGAGGTTGGAAGACACTTGTCTCATCTGCCCTAAACAGCTAAGGGAAGGAGGACTCCTGGCTGACTGGCCCACCCCCGCTTCTGTAAGGCTGGTCTCCCTTTATTCCTACCTGTCATCCGCTCAGCGAACTGCAAAATGCACTGACTGCCCCCCAGGCAGTAGTTGGACACGCTTTGTACACAGACCCACTGACCCACAGGATATCAGCCTGAGAAACAAAACGATACAGAAACGCCACTCAATTCCCTGCAGGATGTAAAGCTTCGGTCGTGGTGGGGTTTTTTTTTTTCTTCCTGGTGAAGACTCCCCACCTTCCATGAACATTTATAAACACCTACAGCTTTAAAAGTCCTCCAAGGTATGTTTTTTAAAGTGCATTTGAGCCAAGTATCTGCAGAATTATTTTAGTCCCTGCAGGGACCCCTGGGGTTTCATCAGCCGTCAACCATCTTGGTCACCAAAGCAGGCAGCCAGGCTTTAAGCAGTGATGTGATGTCAGTGTATTTGACAAATCCCCCTGGGTGACATGCTAATTATTTTTCTCAAGAATGCCTAATTTTATTTTCAATAGTTTCCATTTCAGTATTTCCCTGACAATGCTGTCCCTTTTATTGCTAAATTTCTGTTTGAATGACAATGTTCCCGAGCTATCTGTCCTACTGCAATAGGTTGTCCTGTTCTCTGACCAGCACCCCCATTGTTCTTATTACTGTAGATTTATAACTTCATATCCAGTGAGTTCCTCTCCTTGATAAGTTCGCTATTATTCTAAGTGAATAGACGTCCTTCACGGCATTTCAACTCTGACTTGCACTAAGATAGTTTATACCCTAAATCCCCTCTGGACAGAGACTCTTAAAAGTCAGAAGTCTGCTTTCTGCAAAAAGCTTCTTTTCCAGGGCTGGCATGTATGGCCGTGCAGGTTGTACACTGAACAACCAGATGGTCTCTGGGTACAGCACAGTCCTGTACATCAGGTTTTCATATTTACAGTATCGTGGTCTTCTAAGATGCACATTGGTTCACATTCCTACCATCTGTGAAACTGGGGTGCACCGCACATGGGCGACATGCCATCCCCTTAATTAGCAGAGTCAGAAACTGTGATGTTATGCCATGTCTGGTGAGCCTGCACAGCTAGTCAGAGGCAGAGTTGGGATTTGAAGCCCACAAGACCAGCCCACGGTTACAATTTTGCACGGGGGCTTGTGCCCCATATCGGGAGGGAACCCTGTGTCCGGTCATTTGGAGAAAGAAAAAAATTTTTTGACCATAGCATCTGTGCACGTGTGCAGGTGCCCATAAGCAAAAGCAAGTGGGTGGGGTGGAATCGGGAAAGACCCACCGCCCCTCTTTCGCCCAGCTCTTCCTTCTGGAGGAGATGCGAGAGCGGAAGTTCGATGGCTTTGCCCGCACCATCCAGAAGGCCTGGCGACGCCATGTGGCAGTCCGGAAGTACGAAGAGATGCGGGAGGAAGGTGAGAGCCTGCAGGTGGGAGGCTCAGGGAGGGGACAGACCGACTCAGAGGAGCCAGGCCACAACCTCTGCCCCCCACCCGGTATCTCCACAGCGTCCAACATCCTGCTGAACAAGAAGGAGCGGAGACGGAACAGCATCAACCGGAACTTCGTCGGGGACTACCTGGGGCTAGAGGAGAGGCCGGAGCTGCGTCAGTTCCTGGGCAAGAGGGAACGCGTGGACTTCGCTGACTCGGTCACCAAGTACGACCGCCGCTTCAAGGTGAGGCACTAGCAGGGGGACATGTCTGGGGCCCTGGCCTCAGGCTGGCATCCCCGCCAGAGGTACACCCTCACCCGGCCCAGATACACCCGTCCTGAGGTATACATCCACCCTGCCTAGATACACCGGTCCCATCACAGGTACACCTTCATCCGGCCCAGATACAC